TGGCAATTCCCTCTCTCTCCTGTGCTGCTCTGTGGGGCTCAGTCCCATTCCAGGCACGTCCCATGGTGCTGCCACAGCGGCCCCAGCCCTGCTGCCAGTGCGACCGGAGGGGGCTGGGAGGCGCTGAGGGGAAGGCACTTCGTCCGGCCTGCTTATAGTGGGACCGTCACTCGTGGTTTGTATTTAAGAGCCTGTCTGTGGTGTTTTCCCCCACGTCACTTCCCGCCCTTCTATGGAAAGTGTCTTTTCCGCACTCAGACTCAGTGCCTGCAAGGGGGGAGTGTGGCTCCCAGAGGCACCCGGGACTTGCACGTGAATTTCCCCAGGTTATGGGGAGAGGCTGGAGCCAGTTCTGTATTGAAGGATGGAGCGGAGCCTCTAGACACTGAAGCCCACCCTGGCTGCTACTGGCGCTCCCAGGCAGAGGGGTCACACTTACACATGGGCTAAGGGAAAGTCGACATTCCCACGGCAGTGCGACTGAGATCTGAAATTCAACCCGTAACCAAGTTTTACCCCGTTCGTAACAAAGATTGTTTGCTCGGACTGGAGTTCACACCCTGAGCCGTTGGTGCTGTTTTTTGTTCCAGTTTGTGTCAAACAGTGACTCAGGGAGATTGAATAGATCAAAGCAAATCAATCAATCAATCCTGTAAGAAGCAGAAGCAGCCACAGACATTCCTACCTGATTCCAGCTTGTGCACGTAACACGTGAGGGAGAAAATGATGAAATGAGCTAGACAGGATCTCGCTCTGGAGCTCTCATAGCTGGAAAGAATTTTCATCTCACCCTGAGACGATCCAGAGGACGGGAGAGGAGAGAGAAAACAACAACAACAAAAATGTGTTGAATGTAACAGTCACGGTGATTTCAGACAATACAGACAGTTCTGAGCGGGATATATTTCTGGCCACGCAGAAGAAGGCCTGACATGCAACTTCAGTGCATTTCCCTGCTTCTGCATAACACAATCACTTTGAATGTTGCATTTCATGGAAATGCAACTGAGTCCCAACTCCCGATGTCCGTGGCTAGGAAAGCGATGGGAACCGCACCGGCGTATAAAGCATTTTCAGTGTCCCTGGGACGTGGGGGTCACAGAAAGAGTAAAACAAGTCTAGAGCCATCCGTTTTCATCCAGACTGAAATTGTCTATAGGTAAAGCACCAACTGATGCCTGCCACACACCCCTTCCACCGGGCCACCAGCTCCCATCACCTTCTCAGCTCTGTGCATTGTGCCTGTGGGGGTTAACGTGTGGACACCCCGGATGGCTATGCTCCCAGACAAAAAGAAAACCAATAATCCACTGAGAAAACTCTTGATAACAGAGATAACGAGGCTGTACGGACTCCAGCGTGATGACTGATGTGACGGTTGGAACACTTGGCGTATCTGTTCCGTAAATCAAGACGTTGACCCCAATAATCGATCTGATCTGTATCGTCAATTTCCTCATGCAAACAAGTGTGAAAGACCCCAAATACCCAGAGGGGGCCGTGTGCTGCCCAATATAAACACCAACAAGGCCTAAATAAAGAGTGAAAAACTTCTCAAAGGAGAATAGTGATCGAAATGTAGCCGTGTTAGTCTGGTGCAGCTGAAACAAAAAACAGGACTATGTAGCACTTAAAGACTAACATCTTGTTACTCTTTAAAGTGCTACATAGTCCTGTTTTTTGTCTCAAAGGAGAATAAGGTGAGATCTGGGGTTTCCCAGAGAGGATGAGCAGATGACCAGGGACTAGAAGTTCTGATCTGATCACACTGTAACCAGTTAAAAATGAGTTTTGGAAAAGCATTGCCATTCATTTTCTTATGAGCTGAATGTTTCTGTTTTTTCTTGAGGATCATTTCAATGAGAAAATAGACATTTCTCATTGATTCAGAATGGGAATTCTAGTCAAGTAAATTGAAATTATTTTATTAACCCCCTTTCTTATTCTTGCTAGGAACATCCCCTCCCACCCCGAAAACAGAAATACATAGATCATAGATTTATTTCCATAATATTTCACTAAAATAGAAAATTCTATAAAATATTTCAAACGAAACAAAAATAATTTAAAATGTTTACTTTAGACCATGAATTCCATTTCTTGTCTAGCTTCAGCCCTACAGGAGATTTCCCCAGGACATCTCCTCTCCAATGGGTGCTTGCACAGTAGGAGATACTTGACGATCGGGGTAGAAAATGCCTTTTTTTAAATTAGGTGTGTCCAACAGTACAACTGAACTCAGATCTGCTT